AAATACCTATGTAACGATCATAATAGTTTCAAACAGTTTTTCTTGTACTCAACAAAATAAGTTATAAAAAAACACTAGGTTTCGATAAACAACAAACCTTAAAATTTCGTATGGTATTGTTTGTTAACTGTGTGCGTATATAGAACATTTGGAAATATTGTTTTTGATAAAAAAAAAAAAAAAAACAATAAAGCTACATAAAAATTGTGGAAGAACCAGACCAAACTTTAATGGTTTGGTTTTGATTTATCAATCACTAACTAAGGGGGTTGAAACCATAGTGGTGTAACTCACAATATCGTACAAATTAAGTATTAATAGCATATTTTAAAAAGTCAATACATCAACAGGGACAAACTTAAGTTATTCATAACTTATAATCTCTACCATCATTTGGCAGCACACTACGAGATTATAATACAAAATAAGAAATTGAGATATAAAATATCTATTTTCTCATTTTTAATGTTTGACATTTTGTTAATTTGGTTGTAACCTTATGGAAATTATTTTTCTGAGTTTCTAAGCAAATACTTTCTTATTGTATTGGTTTATACTGTGCTTGGATTAGAAAGTACTGATTTAAGCTTACTGTCCATAGATTCGCACGGAAGTGTTTTTTAAAAGTGATTTTATCACTTTCAGATACAACAATTATTAATGACCCGCGACCTCTCTGCCACCACTACTCTCCAAACACACTTTGCTGGTTTTTTATTTTATTTATAAATTACTAACTGAGGGGGTTGAAACCATAGTGGTGTAGCTTACAGTATCGTACAAATGAAGTATTGAAGGCATATTATAAATAGTCAATACATCAACAGGGACAAACTTAAGTTATTCATAACTTATAACCTCTACCATCATATGGCAGCATACTACAAGCTTATAATACAATATAAGAAATTGAGATATTAAATATCTATCTCATCATTTTTAATGTTTGACATTTTGTTAATTTGGTTGTAACCTTATGGAAATTGTTTTTCTGAGTTTCTAAGCAAAATCGGATAAATACAAACAGCACAATATGTATTCACAGTTGTTATGGGAATAATGTAAAATAAATTTTGACTGGTCGATAACCAGTTTCGCATAACTATTATTGAGGTCATTGAAGTTTCAAGTTTAGGGCAGGAGGAAAGGTAGAGCAGTAGTACTTTATACTCAATCTAAAAAGTTTATAAAATATATACATAACTATTTAAGTTTCAAAAGTTGCTATAAAAAAGAAACTAAGTTGGGAGAGGGGTAAAAACAGAAAAATTGTGAAAAATTGATCACATTGTATAAACACAATATAAAAAAAAAATTGTCATTTCTTATTAAAACCTATGAGATATCGAGAGGTTCGCGATAAATGGATCACCCTGTAAAGAATAATCCAAAGAGTGGCTTTAACACTAATAAATGTAGATTTTGAAGACTATTATGGATTTCAAAACTTAAAATTTGACCTAATTTTTTTATATTTTTTTATCGGTGTAGTTTAGTTGTTTTTTTTACTGTAGACAACTTTGCAGCATACCTACATTTGGAATACTATAAACAATACCTTATCGATTGTACGAATAAACAAATGCACAAAAACATTATTTTCATCGCTTATATCGTTACAGGGTATCCCATCAGTATATTTTAACAACTCTGATTGACCGGTTGGTCATGAAAATAGACTTGACGATGCTTTTTTTACCTAACCACTCATTGAGGTGGGTGTCCATTATATTGTTTTGTCCCTCCTATTAAATTTTAGCTTGGTGCCACAGATCCAGTTTTATAATATACCCTGAAAATATTAAAATAGATTGAACTTTTAAGAATTACTACGAATGTTAAACGGCAACTAGGTGTTTTCATTTTTTAAAAGGACCGAAAAAACCTTTCCTTTTTTTTCCAGTTTATATGGCTTCATTTAGCATATTCTAACATTTTACAAACATTCAGTTATTTCCCTATAGGCTATTATATAATGTTATTGACTTTATGTGGAGGAGCTTTGACAATCAATGTTGTAGAATTAGATCCGTTTTGTTTTTGTGAACACTTCATACTCGCGTTGTACATAGTATACAACTATTACCTTGTATAATTGTTTTAGTATCGAAATACATTAAAGTCTAATCTAAGTTTATTTGTTCCTAGTCTTACAATGACCTTCATAAGCTTGGTCGATAAAATATATTTAGTGCATCATAGCCTAAAGTGTTCTCAATCTAAATTCAAGAAGGTGTTGTTAAGACGTGACGGGACACCCTGTATCAATAAGAGCGACACGAGCTTAGAAAAACATGTTGTTGTACATTGGTTTCTTCGCAAACACCGTAAATTAATATTTGAACTAGTGCTAAAAAACATTTTTTACCGACTACTGTAAAAAAACACTAACATGGAAAAATATGTTTATGTGCGCCCATATTTTCGTACCTATTCCGAAAAAAATGTTGACAGGTTTAAAAACCGGCAATTTTAATTTGATATATAACTTAGCCAATTCAAGCCGGATCAATTCGAAATTTTTTAAAAAACATCAATAAGGCTTGCCTCATATGCCCTCAAACCTAAATTTCAACAACTCACCGCCCCTTTACGTTGGAACTTTTTTTTTTATTACTAAAGCGCATTTTTAAGGTTAAAGAGCTGAATTTTATAAATAATAATAACTTTATTGCAACACTACAATGCAAAATAAACATCAATTTTAATAATTTGAAATTTAGTCCGATGTTTTTATCTAACATATAATGTCAAATCAAATTTTTCTAGAAGTCTTATTAAAACGAAATAACCCAAAAAGTGGCTCTTACACTAATAAATGTGGATTTTGAAGAAACATAATAATACAAATAAACAAAGAATTGTTAATAATTATTACACAAACTAGTAAAATTTTTGATAAATAAAATAAAACATTTCTGACAAATATCAGAAATCTGCTAAATGTCATTTTTACACAGAATACATAACTATGTATATAGTTATCAAATTTGACAAAAGTCATTTTTGAAAAATCAGTGACTTATGTCATTTTTTAAATGACAGATTCAATTTGAAATTCAGTTCGAGGATATTATCTAACATATATTGTTACATATCATATTACATTTTTATAATGAAATAACCTAAAATTTGGATTTAATACTAAAATTTGTTGACTTTGAAGGCTATTATGGATTTTTAAAACTTGTTTTTAAAGTTTTGTTAAATTAGTTGAAGCCCTATGGAAATTGTTTTTCTGAAGTTCCAAGCAATATTGGATCAAAACAAACAGAACCATATGTGTTCACTACACTTGTTAGAGCGTACACTATAAGAACCAGCCACTACGCCGCAATAATATCATTTATCTTTTATTTTGTTTCCTATAAGACGTACTTTGAAATTAAAAGCTAGCCGGGAAAAATGAACGCGAACTATCTATTTTTTTTGTGTTTAATACTTATTAATTATCGCACAGCAAAATCCGCCGACACTCCCGAAACACGGGTAACTTTAAAGTTTTAAGCTAAAAACCAAAAACAAATACGCCCAAATGCCTATTCTTAATAAGTGTTTCATAATATTTGATAAGATATTTCATAAGATTTGACCACAATGTTGAACGAACGATTATATTTTTCATTGTTTGGTCGCACTAAATAAGAAATTATTAATGTTTGTTTAAATTATTCGATTTTTTAGAGTGCACCATTTGATTTTATTTAATCTGTCGTAGTACACTGCTATTCAAAAAAATGATTTATAATAAAAACCTTTTAAAAGATTTTGTTGTAAATTTCGTCCCTAAAACAATGATGTGTTTTTTTATTAACACCAAATAGCTTGAAGACAATTTTTGAAATAAAACATAATGTAATTCATAAATATATTTCAGGCAGTTCAAATAACCAACTTATATCAAAAGCTTATGAATCTAAATCCAGGGATATCTAAAGATAAGATCATCGAATGGTTAAGGGCAAAAATGAGGAAAAGCGAAGGTTTGTACATACAAATGAAAAAAAAATTGTATTTAATTAAAATTATTATCACAAAAAAAACTTTTATCGAATGTTGAAAAAGGATTAATAACAATCAGAGTTTCTGATTCGATATTAATACATAAATTTCACAGCTAAAGAAGTTTAAAATTTATTTCATTATTAGTATGGTAAGTTTCTATTTAAAACTGTTGTTTCAAACAAACAGTAACTATTATCCGAAATATATGTCGTCTCCAGTTCCATAATATAAGTATTTAAATATTTCGTGAATTTTAATCTAAAATATGTGTTGTAACTATTTAGGTGAACCAGTCGAATTAACACAACTCAGTTTTATAGGTTTTATGGAAAGACTAGGCTTTAATATTGAAGTGCTACGGAAGCTAAATAATCAGGCTTCAAGTTCTACTAGAGCACCAGACTGGTCTAATGTTCAAAAGGTGATTTACTATCATTAAATTGTATTAATAGTCAAAAACAGTAATGATAAATGTTTTTTTTAAACAATATTTTTTAATTAAAATAATTGTTTATATTTTATGGTTTGGTATACAACCTTGTACTTCAATAGATAAAAAAAAACATTTGTTGTTCTTTATATAATAAAATATTTAACATAATCGTTTATACCATGTTCAGTAAAATATCCATACTTCTAGTTCAAATAAGAGAACCAAGTTTTTAAGTTAAAAAAATATATTTTGTAAATTTCGTTCCCAAAACCAGGATGTATTTTTATCGAAGCCGTATAATTTGTAAACAGGTTTATAAGCATAATATAATGTGATTCATAAATATATTCCAGGCAATTGAAATAAAAGAAACACGGGATATGCTTCGAAAACAAGACATAGTGAATCTAACACAACAGTTACAGAAACATAAAGATGAGATCGGACAATGGATAGAGACAGCGATCGACAAAGGTATGTACTAACGAAAAAAAACATTACATTTTAATATAAATTAAAGTCAAAATCATTTTAATAAAAAAACTTTTATCGAATGTTAAAGGATTAGTAACACTTGTATATGATGAGTTCGGTACAAAAATCAATTTATCAGATTCCAACTTTCATGATTTAATGGAAAGCCTAAACTTAAGTCTTGAAGAGCTACGGGACCTAAATAAACGTTTAGCGAACGAAACAACACCAATTAATATTAAAGTTTGTTTACATTTTTCAATTTTTTAGAGTGCACTATTTGATTTTATTTAATCTGTCATAGTACATTGCTATTCAAAATAAATGATTTTATAATAAAAAACTATTAAAAGATTTTTTGTAAATTTCGTCCCTAAAACCATGATGTGTTTTTTTATTGACAGCAAATAATTTGAAGTCATTTATTGAAATAACACATAATGTAATTCATCAATATATTTCAGGCAGTTGAAATAACCAACTTATATCAAAAGCTTTTGAATCTAAATCCAGGGACATCTAAAGATAAGATCATCGAATGGTTAAGGGCAAAAATGAGGAAAAGCGAAGGTTTGTACATACGAATGAAAAAAAAATTGTATTTTAATTAAAATTATTATGACAAAAAAAACTTTATCGTATGTTGAAAAAGGATTAATAAGAATCAGAGTTTCTGGTTCGATAAAAATACATAAATTTCATAGCTAAAGAAGTTTAAATATTTCGGAATTTTATTCTATAATGTGTTGTGACTATTTAGGTGAAACAGTCGAATTAACAGAACTCAGTTTCATAGGTTTTATGGAAAGACTAGACATTAATATTGAAGTGCTACGGAAGCTAAATAATCAGGCTTCAAGTTCTACTAGAGCACCAGACTGGTCTAATGTTCAGAAGGTGATTTACTATCATTGAATTGTATCAATAGTCAAAAACAGTAATGATTAACGTTTTTTTTTTTTTTAAAACAAAACATTTTTTTATCTAAAAAAATTGTTTATAATTTATGGTTTGGTGTACAATCTTGTACTTCAATAGATAAAAAAAACATTTGTTGCTCTTTATTAAATAAAATATTTAACCTAATCGTTTATACCATGTTCAGCAAAACATCCGTACTTCCAGTTCAAATATGTATGTTTTAACTTAATTATATACGTTTATACAGTAGGGTCGGGAAAAGAAATAAACAGGTTTATAAGCACAATATAATGTGATTCATAAATATATTCCAGGCAATTGAAATAAAAGAAACACAGGATATGCTTCGAAATCTACACATAGTGAATCTAACACAACAGTTACTTAGTCGTAAAGATGAGATCCAACAATGGATAGAGACAGCGATCGACAAAGGTATGTACTAACGGAAAAAACATTACATTTTCATAGAAATTAAAGTCAAAATTATTTTAATAAATAAACTTTTATCAAATTTTAAAGGATTAGTAACACGTGTATATGATGAGTTTGGTGCAAAAGTCGATTTATCAGATTCCAACTTTCATGATTTAATGGAAAGCCTAAATTTAAGTCTTGAAGAGCTACGGGACCTAAATATACGTTTAGCGAACGAAACATCACCAATTAATATTTAATTTTAATTCACCTTCTAAAAGTAAACCTACATTTATTTTTTGTTGTCAATCATAATAGTATTTTACAAATTTTAATAATAATTACTCGAAATTTGTTTGAAATGTCTGTAACACATTATTAAATTATTATATTTTGTATAAAATTAAATAATGTAAATAAATGCCGACTTGTTATAATAATTTATGATGTTTATATACTTTTTCCCTCACTTTCACACATATTTATTTCCTAAATAGAACAATAAAACAAAGAACATACACATTATCCTTATATCACAGTGCCGGATTTTAAGAAAAGGTCCAAGCATTCAACTTAAGTTTAATTTAATTTTTACAAAAAAAGTTTTTACTGGACCGATCTACTTAACCGATCAACATGCTGGGCTTTTCAACTTATAGAGTTTAGCATTGATCAGGTTTTAATCGTATTTTAAAGCTATACAATTTATTCAAAAAGTAAAAAAAATAACAGCTAATGGTGAAGAGCCATGAGGTATTTTTTAAATATTTTTATTATATTATTAATCGAGATACATGGGTAAGTATAGTAATAAATTTTTACAGTTGACGATTAACTCAGATCATATCGATTCTAATAATAAAATTCATTTTTCAATAAATATATTGTTAATTATTATTATAACTGTTATTTATTATAATCCTAGAAGTTCTTTGTACCTTATTTTTCTCTATATCGCTTTTTTTTGTGTTGATATTGACTAATGTTCGAAAATAAATACAAAAAGAACATCTGCTGTGACCATATTACAATAACAAGTTGTTCAGAAATCGTTAACAATGCGTTGAGCAGCTATAGCCTATGTATCATAAAAAAATAACGAACAAAAAACAACCAAATGTTTTACTTAAAAACGTAAACACCTTCTTAACTAAGCGATAAACTAACATGAAAAAATACAAAATATGTTTGTATGATTCACACATAGACTATAAAAAAGCCAGTACAGAGGGGTCGGGGCATGGCGGGGATAAAGAGTTGACACGTCTTTGAGATTTACTGAAAGTGTTAAAATCACTTTCAAATAAACGTTTTAACGCAAATTTCTGGACACTGTGTTGATTTATACTGTGCTTGGTTTGAAATGTACTGATTTAAGCTTACTGATCATAGATTCGCATGGAAGCGTTTATTTAAAAGTGATATTATCACTTTCTGATATAATAATTATTGAAGACCCGCGACCTCTCTGTTTCCGCCATTCTCTGACCACACTTTACTAGTTTTGTTTTTATTTATTAATCACTAATTGAGGTGGTTGAAACCATAGTGGTGTAACTCATAGTATCGTACAAGTTAAGTATTGTAGGCATATTTTAAAAAGTCAATACATCAAAAGGGGCAAAGTTAAGTAATTTATAGCGTATCATCTTTATCATCATATGGCAGCACACTACAAGATTATAATATAATATAAGATTTTGGGATATAAAAAATCTATCTTCTTATTTTTAGTGTTTAGCATTTTGTTAAATTTGTTGAAGCCCTATGAAAGTTGTTTTTCTGAAGTTCCAAGCAAAATCGGATCAAAACAAACAGTGCCATTTGTGTTCAACACAGTTGTTAGAGCCTACACTAAAAACATCAGCCAATACGCCGCAATAACATCATATTTTTTTTATTTTGTTTCCTTTAAGACGTAATTTGAAATTTTAAGCTAGCAAGGAAAAAATGAACGCGAAGTATCTAATAATTTTTTGTTTAATAATTATTAACTATCGCACAGCAAAAACCGCCGACAATCCCGAAGTGAAGGAAATACAGGTAACTTTGAAGTTTTAAGCTAGAATAAAAAAAAATGACGCCCAAATGCCTATTCTTAAAACGTAAGTCATTATTTTAATTTTTCAGAAACTTCCTTCATGTTCTACTAACACACAAGATTGGTCTCATCTTGCGAAGGTGAATTATTATCATTTAATTTATATAAATAGCCAAGAACATTAATGATTAACTTTTTTTTTTTTAAACAATATTTTTTAATTAGAATAATTATTTATACTTAATTGTTCATAATACTTCAAGAGATAAAAAAAACATTCGCCGATTTTTATTTATAAATAATAATATGCTATGACAATAAAGATGCTTAAAAAAATTGCTTTGGCCACACTGTAGAACATAACGATTATATTTTTTTCATTTTTTGGCCGCACTGTCAAGAAATAATTAATGTTTGTTTACATTTTTCGATTTTTTTAAAGTGCACTATCTGGTTTTATTTAATTTAGCTGTGGTAGTACACTGCTATTCAAAAAAAGTTTTTCAGCTGAGTCTGCATCCACGAAAGAGCATTTTCATGTCACGTTGAAGTACCGAATAAATTTAGATTAGTTGTGGAATTATAATTAAAAAAAAAAAAATTACATGGAGCTTCCAGTTACAGCATAAGCCGAGGATATTAAAAAATTATGTACAATTAAATTTCTGGCTAAAATTGTGGTGTTTATTATCTGGCCAAAAGTAATATAACTTAACATAGAGAATTAAATTATTTTGAATTTATTATTTAGTTCTAATTTGCACGTTGAACGTACAACATATCTCTTATCTCTTATCTTCTATATCTTACCCCTATTCCCTACCCACTACCCCCGCCCCAATCACTAACCCCTATCTCCCACCCCTATCTCCTACTCCTATCTCCTACCCCTATCGTCTACCCCCTATCTCCCACCGACCTACTGAATTGTTATGCTTTTTTTCGGATATGTGCCAGGGTTATGTGCCAGAGCTAAGACACGAAAATGTCAAAATTATTTAATAATTTAAATTTAATCGTATCTACCCTACTACTGAATACAATTATCATTATGGTTAAAGCAATTTTTACATGCACTGTAAATTTACCAATCATCTATTCTAAATGATCAACAAATTATTCATAATTCCTACTCAAACAAGTATGTTAAAAACTTAATTGAATAACATTTTATTTGATGGGATAACTAACCAAGTGTTATAGTTAAAAAAAAGTATAAGAGTTTTTGTAAATTTCGTCTCTAAAACCATGATGTGTTTTACAAAAAACAAGTTTTTAAATAAAATATAATGTGTTTCATGAATTTTATTCCAGCTAATTGAAATAAACAAATTATGGCAGAAGCTTTTAAAACTACATCGAGGGGATCTTACAGGAAATATGCTTAAACATAAGATCATGAAATGGTTAGAGACGAAAATAGGAAAAGGCGAAGGTTTGTACTATCACAAACAAAAACTTTTATCGAATATTAAAAAAGGATAAATAACAATTAGAGTTTCTGATTCGATAGTAATACAAAATTTTCACAGCTAAAAAAGTTTAAAATTTATTTCATTATCAGAATGGTAAGTTTCTATTTAAAACTATTGTTTAAAGCCAACAGTTATCCGAAATATATGTCTTCGGTTCCATAATATAACTACTATTTAAATGTTAATAACATTTTATTCTAATATGTGTTGTAACTATTTAGGTGAAATAGTCGAATTAACAGAAACCGATTTTACACGTTTTATAGAAAGCCTAGACTTAAATCTTGAAGTGCTACGGGAGCTAAATAAACCTGAATGTACTACTAGCACACAAGACTTGTCTCATCTTGAGAAGGTGATTTATTATCATTAAATTGTATCAATAGTCAAAATCAGTAATGATTAACGTTTTTTTTTTTAAAAAAATTATATATTTTAATTAGAATAATTATTTATATTCTATTGTTTGGTATACAATCTTGTTTGTTCTAGGCGATTGAAATAAAAGAACTATGCGAGAAGAGTTTAAAACTAAAAGAATTAAATTTGGAAGAAGACTTTCCTGTTTATAAAGATAAGATCATCGAATGGATAGGGAAAAATACAGCGAACGACGAAGGTGTGTACTAACGAAAAAGAACTTTACACATTTTAATATAAATTAAAATTATTACAATAACAAAAATATTTTATCGAATATTGAAGGATTGATAAGAGTTGAAGTTGATGAGGATGATGAAAAATTCCAACTAACAGATGCCAACTTTAAAGATTTATTGGAAAGCCTAAACTTAAGTCTTGAAGAGCTACGGGACCTAAATGAACTTTTAGGAAAAAAACCACGCCAGTAACAATACTGCATCACCAATTTAAATTTAAATTAAAATTCATCTTTTTAAAGTAAACCTACATATATATATATTTTTTTAAATCATAATAGTATTTTACAAATTTTAATAATAATTACTCGAAATCTGTTTGATATTGATCTGTAACACATTATTAATTTATTATATTTTGTATGAAATTTAATAATGTAAATAAATGCCGACTTGTTATAATAATTCATAATGTTTATACATTTTTTCCCTCGTTTTCACACATATTGGTTTCTGAAATAAAACCGTGATGAAAAGTTAAGTACAACTGTTTTAGAGACATCTTATGTACAAAACCAAACACATTCTCCTTGGATAATAGCTATATGTTATAGGTACTATAATATGTTAGAACTACCTTGAAACTAATTTGCAGCTCTTAAATTCTAAAATTGCGCCCCAAAAAACAAATTAAAAAAAATTGCCTAATTTGTAATCAATTACATCTAAAAAAAAAAAAGTGGTTTCCTTCATAAACTAACAACGCGTAATTTTCCTTAATATATTTATGTTTGTAATTTTTTTTTAATAGATGTATTTATAATATATATGTATATTTCCGTTTATTTAATTTTCTATAGTATATATATATATATAAACATAAATTAAGCACATATAAAACTCATATTCTTACCATAAACAGAATAAATTGCACGTTACGGTGCTAATTAGCAAGAGCTTATAATTAAAAGACAAAAACCAATTAAAACCGTTCACTGTCGCTTTTTTTTTATTACTGATTAAAATTTGTGAAAACCAACGCCCATTACAATAATTAGTGAGATTATATAGTAATAGTTTTTTTTTTCTCCTTCATTTTACATATACGATCTATACAATTTTAGTACAATATAAGTATATATTATGACGACACGGGTAAATTATAGACATTGAAAGCATGCAAAGAGAAGCTGTCCACTGAATATAGTAATAGCGAGAAAATAATGATCAGAGAACGGAGACTGACTTTTACACTTTTCCAGCTATCCGTGAGGTGAATAATGTTTGACCTTTTACAAGTTTAAGACTTTATTTTTGTACCCCCCACTGCCAGTCTGCAGAGATACCATAATATGAGGCGCACAGAAGCCAAACTGAATAACTTTGCATAAAATGAAATTTTTCACGACAGGCAGTTTGAATTTATTTGAAACAATGTATGTAAGTAAATAATTGCCAATGTACTTGGCGCACTCTAGTGGTGAAAAATTCAACATTAAACAAGACAGCACCTAGGCATATAATGAAACCCTTGATAGAGACCCTAGTAACCTTACCTTTGTGAGTTTCGTATGGGGCGGCACGTGGACGGTGAAATTGCGGTCGTTGACGGTCAACCGGAAGTCTCCTTCCATCAGCGATTCGATTGTGTTGGAAGAAGCGATGCGCACACCTTCGGGGTTGGAGACCACCACGTGGTCTATGCCTTTGTCTTCGGTTTTCAGCATGTTGGTAAAGTCGCCCACGGTGTTCGTTACCGGCCGCAAGGTGAACTGGCAGAGTTCGCGCCGGGACGGCAGGGGAACCGTGACCGTGGGCAATCCTCGTCTGAGCTCCACGTGTATTTCTGCAAATCAAAACAACAAACACGGTTTTAGCAGACTAATATCGATGACAAGTACGACGAGTACATCGAGATATTGTATACAAGGTGTTAGAAAAAAAAAACGACGATTATAGTTTTGGTGAACTAATTATATAGCATATGGTATAGTAGTATTTATATTGTACGATCCGACCGAATGCATACCAATACAATATAAATACACCTAACCTAACCTTTTTTGTTTTTTCCTTCTAGTGCATCCATAGTAAAACTGGAGAGGTACTTGCCTATTGAGGCATTACTTCCCCCCAGTTTTCCGATGCCATTTATTTTTCAATAAAATTACAACTTTGTTTGAGTGGGGTGCTCCACACACCCACTCAACATTTGACTTAAACCCAAACATAACCTAACCTAACCTAACCTAACCATACCTAACCTAACCTAACCTAAACTAAACTAAACTAACCTAACCTAACCATACCTAACTCAACGGCAGAGGAACCGTGACCGTGGGCAATCCTCGTCTGAGCTCCACGTGTATTTCTGCAAATCAACCACAAACAGTTTTAGCAGTCTAATAATTGTCCCTTGTACGATGATAAAAAGGATCCAAGTTTACTTTTTCAAATGCCAACATAATATGTTTTTAATTCCATAAATTTGTAGGCAAACATTTTTAAAATATGTGATCGTTTGAATTTTTAATTTTCATCCATCCGTTCGTTAGCTATGACTTGTAAAGATATTACATTTTCTCCCAAAGACCGGTAGCCCATAAAATTCAAAATTCAAACAATAATATTTTTTTTTAAACTTTTGTCTACATATATTAATGGAATTGAAAACATATACGTTTCCATTTGAAAAGTGATGTCCTACCATTGTTTGTATAAGCCATAAGGGTTGGAGATACAAATTTTCACAGTATTGAAAAATGTACTACAATGTGTACCTAAAAGTATGGGAAATTATTTTTTTTTTTTTAATGTTCATATTTTCCGAGAAAATTAGTGTCTTACCCAAAACGAATCACCCCGTGTAAAGGTTTTTACAAGTATGGCTAAAGTACATCGAGATGTATACAAGGTGTTGGGAAAGAAAGAAAAACCGACGACGGTTATAGTTTGGTGAACTAACGCGAGAATTGAGTTACAAACTGTATGTAGATAGGTAGATATAAGAAATAAGACGTTATAATAATATATGTATATTATAACTAGTTTATAATATGTTTGTTTCAGTCTTGGCTGGCTGAGTCTCGGTCCGATAAAAGGGTGTTCTGCAATTGAACTAATCAAAGTAAACGATCGCCGCCGTTTACACGAGCGAACCCTTCCTCCGCCCAAACACATCAGTGCTGTATTAATTATTATAATTACTTAACCGTTAATCGCGCAGGATTTTTATGAATATTTTACTACGGAACAGTGAATCGTTTTCACTTGGTAGCCAAAAAAAAAATAATTTCATTATCGTTTCAACATCACACACACACACGTGTAAAGTGATTATATAGCCATCTACTGTGGCAGTCGTCTCATTAATCGATGCAGGACGGTGTAACACAACCACCAAGCTCACGGCTTAAAACTACCGCATTAGCAAGTATATACATATATATATATATATATATATGAAAAGAAAGTAACTCGTGTACCGTCGTTCCAGTAGGTCTACCAAGTGGGCAAGTGAAATAATAAAAAAAAAAAAATACTAATAAATACAACAAGTACACGCGCATTATTTTACTTATTTTCTTAATAATTGAGATAAGGAATCGTGGACACACGGCGGTGTGCTCATTCGTTTGGCGGACTCGCGGTGCTTCGGTTGCTTTGGATATTGCACTTTACCAGGTAAGCATGAAGTCTATATTCGATAAAAGTTATTCATATATATATATATATATTTAAAGTCAAACGCTTCTTTCACACGTTCGTCTAAAGATTGCACACCCACAAGAGTGAAAGAATATATCCTTCTTCTTAAGGCTACACATCTTCTACATCTTCTTCAGGTTATATCTATACACATAATTCGATAACTGTTGTTACCAGAACCTAATACCAGATGTTTCAAAACGATAAACAACTTTGTTCTCACCAAAAAATGATTTTCAATTTTTTCATCACTTTTGTTGTAATATTTTTCCAAAATAAAACTCACTCATCTCGAATTAAGAATTTGTTTACTATATTGACTGTTTCTAATACACCACAAACTGGCAAGGATTGCATTTATTTGCTCATAATATAGGTACCTAAATATTACAGCTTGTATACTTGTATTTATAAAAAAGACTGATAAGGGTAATACCAGTGAAAACTGATGGGGTAACATAACCTTACTACCTATCTAATATTTCCATTAAACATACAAAATGTCTTTGAACAATATCATTGCGCAATAGGTCTGTACACTGATATCATGATATTTTGATCATAATTTGTGGGTTTTTTAGGAACTTAAATTTTTCCCTATCATTTTACATGTGTTTTTTGGTGACTGGTACTACCCCGCTATATGGGGGTAATGGCGGTCCTTTGGAATTTTTCAAAAGAAATATGTAACTTAATTTTAAAAATCTGAAACTTATATACATAACACCCAACAAGTTTATGGTTTGATTTCAAGAAAGAACGGAATTTCTGGACTTTTAGTTCCAAAGATACTTCAATTCCCGCAATTCCTTCCCCACTTTGCCCTAATGTTTTTCCCGTTGTTTTATCGGCCTCGATGAGTGGTGCAAATGCGGTACAATTATTTACATATAAATATACAATACTAAAAACAAAAAGTACATAGTTTTTTAGTTGACAACAATTAGCTTGCCGGACGAACCGTGCAAGGCCGCGGCCGACTTTATCGATTGTTTCGGGGCACAGTTATTATTAAAACCGGCTATCGGTTTCTCGTCCACCGGGATTTGGGATGTGGCCGTGACTAGACTTGAATATTTTCCCACATTTCCCGTGGAAATAAAAACACTTTAGGGCCAACACGAACAAAACCAATAATAAAAGCAGCGAAAACACCGTCTTGGCCAAGACCTGCTGGCTGGCTTGTGTGTAGAAAGTAGATCAGTATAGTAGTGTGCAGCACACATTGGTTTTAATGGCCACTTGGTTATAAGTTATAACAGTGTGCAAAATTAGCCAGTGACATACTAGAGAAGATACCGTGTAAAAATGATGTACAAGATAATTAAACTATTTACTGTACGGTTAAAAAAAAAAATGAATAAAATATCATCTCTAAACGGACAGCAGTATAGACGGTTTCAAAGCGGAAAACGCATAATATTAATTAATAATAATATAATATTAGGAAGAAAAGAGAAATTACAAGGTAGGTATACCGGATAGCTGTGAAATAACGCAATTTGTTGTCTAAAAATAAAAAAATTTAACTATAAATGTATATTATATAGTCTACACGAGGCGTCTGCTGGTTTTGCAAAACCAGCTGCTAAAAGACATTTTTAAAACGTGTTTTTTTTTATTAAGTGACCACACTGTATTACATCATGGTATACTTGAAACTATTATAATGAATATAAAATACAAATTATAATCAACTGTGTTGGGAAAATTTGGTTAATTACAAAATCGCCCATCCGAACAAAAATGATTTGATGTTTGTGAAAATTTCCAAAAATATTGCTTTTAGCTGGCCTTACATATCATATATTATTTTAAACTATAATACCCCTATAATAAGGTTGGACAAGTGCAACCAGTTAGTGAGTTTATACTACCTTTAAAGTAAAATATGAAACTGAGTATTTCTCTTCTTCATTCCACTTGATGTGTTCACTTTGATACGACTACTTAAATTTATAAGGCTATAAAAACTATTTTATAATAAACAGGGTTCTTATAATGTTTTACCGTTAACGGTTTTTACTGATAATTACACGAGTAATTAGTGCCTAAATTTGTTAAGACCTGTTTAATGCCCAATTTTTTTTCTCTAAAGTAATCATGTCATTTTTTAATGATCACATACGCACAAATAAAAAAAGTACTTACAAGTCAGTTTATGGTTTAACATTAAAATTCCTTTTCTAAATTATTATTAATGAAGAGTAATCAAATTTTTGTTGGGAATAAATGTTTGGATTTTTTTTTTTTTTGGAAAATGAACATAATATTTTGTAAAGAGAGTAAAATGCATGTAATTTATAAATTATAATATACAAAGAACAGATGATATTATATACCACTGGGGGGGGGGGAGATGCCGAGTGGCTTAGACGATTTCTAACGGGCAATTTAATTTAGAGAATGAATTAAAAAAAAAAAAAAAAATAGTTTTATTTTCATGTAAAAAGTGCGTTAAAAGATCTATCCACACACACACACACACACAAAAGATCTACAGTGATGTTAAAGGGAGCGTTATTAATATTGTGCAGACACTTAAGCCGACGTTAAGTACACAACGTATTTAAGGGATAAGCGAAAAAGAGAATATTTTTTAAAAATGAAAAATACTCACACAGGGTGATCATTTTATCGCGAACCACTCGATATTATTTTTGGTTTAAAAATGTAATTTCTTATTAAACGCTGGAAGATATTCAGCCGGTTTCACTAACTATTGTAAAATAAACTCTTTACACAATGTTAGTTAACAATTCATTTAAATTTAACATATGGTTAAATGAAATATATTTAACCAAAACATTATTATTGTTAAATTCTATTTGTTGAGTTACCGAAATGTTACTTGGGTTACCAAAGCAGTTACCTAGATTCCAACGTTCTCATTGGTTATTAACTGATAAGTGATTGTAGAATTTAATTTGTCAGTTTGTTATTAATTGACATTTTATTTTACTTTATTTTAACGTTTCGGTTTATATAAATAAATTACACATCATTTTTTAACACATTGTTTAGATAGTCTATACCTTTCTAAAAATAATTTGTCATCAAGGTCATTAAAATAATTGTTCTATTATGAAGGCCTACAAAAAAAGTAGGTAGTGATAAGAATAATTATTTCCGTTGTTT